ATCTTGCCAGAGATCTGAACTAATCATCTTCAGAAGGCTTTTGAGCTAAGGCTAAGGACCACTGCTCCCTGCCCCTTTGACACAGTATTAGTGGTTGGGCTATCACATCAATGATTAAAGCACACTATAGGAAAGTTACACCTAGTTTTACTGCAATGTTTTAATTGAATCTGCACATCTAAAAAAATGTAAACATTGTCCTGGGAGGAATGACTGCCTACACCTTTGGGAGGATGTCTAAATGAATTTGCATACAAATTAATGATCTTTAGCCCACAATGGAAAGATAAAACTCATTTGTTTGTTTGCTGCTGTTGATTTATTTTTATTTTTATTTTGTAAGGTGAGACATAGCCCAGATGTCCTGAGTGAAATATGCAAACTTTTACTCCACCAATTCTTAAGCAAGGACAAACTCAACCATGTACTTAACTCTCTTCAAAGAATCAATAGGACCTGAGAAGTGCTTAATCCTGGCAGGATCCTTAACCCCTGTGCTGAAACAGATGCCTTTGATTTAAGAACCAAGAAAGATGCATCTCTTGAGACAATCACACTCAAAGGAAGAAAGGTCAATATTTTGACGGAGCAGATTAGAACTGGAATCAAAGGCAGACAACAAACATGGAACCCAAGGGTGCCATTCCTACATTGCTATTCTCCCCAGTCAACCTGTTCTTTAACGATTGATTTGAATGTATAAATATTTTATGTCTGAGGCTGGGTCACAGATGTGCTGGCTAAGTGGTCTGTGATATTTTATCATTGATTATTCTTGTTTTACCTGATGTTGTTTGGGAAATTACTGATATGTTATTGTTACAGTGATAGTCTTCAGCAATCAATAAATGTGAAAAGCATAGCCTTGAAAAGTGGCTAAGAAAATGATTAAATAATAATTTGACAGCCCTTGATATTTGGAATGACCATGGAGTTCAAGGCCACAGAACTGGTTTATCAGACCATTACATCACAATGCCAGCATCTGTGCTACACATCTCTGTAACAGCCCAATCCTATAAGGAGCTGAAATCAATTGACTTAGCACAAGATCAGTCAACTTTAGTTATCTGAGGAAACAATCAGTGGCCCCTAGACATGGTCTGAGGGTCATAGGATAGTTCAGATTCCCAGCTCAGATGTCAGGGGTCCAGACCCCTCCCCCCCCCACCCAACCCCACTGCAGCCCGCACAGGAAGAACTGCACCTGCAACTTTCTGAGCATAGGAAAGCAATTTCACAGAAGTGAGAAGGAAGAAGGGGGTGGAGGGCAGGGAAGCTGTTCTGAAGGTGCTCCAGCATTTCAGCTGTGAGCTGCCAGCAGCATGAACACAGTACCTTGGATGCTACTTTTGTCATTTCTCAGAATACCAGGTTCTAACATTGTAGTGCAATCAGAGATAACCATAAGCTCTCTGGGCAGTTTACAGCAAATGTAAGAACAAAACAATTGCTTTATTAACAACATATTATTTTCAAATCTAACATACATATGGAATCAAAGAGGTGGTAATTGAAGTGGATCACTGCCTTGTTGTGGTGAAGGGGCTTGCGTAGCTCAATGAAGCTATGTGCTATGCCGTGCAGGGCCACCCAAGACGGACAAGTCATAGCAGAGAGCTCTGACAAAACATGATCCACTGGAGAAGGAAATGGCAACCCACTCCAGTATCTTTACCATGAAAACCCCATGGACAATACCAAAAGGCAAACAGATATGACGCCGGAAGATGAGCCCCTCAGGTCGGAAGGTGTCCAATATGCTACTGGGGAAGAGCAGAGGGCTAGTACTAATAGTACCAGAAAGAATGAAGCGACTGGGTCAAAGCTGAAAGGACACTCAGGTGCCGATGTATCTGGTGGTGAAAGGAGAGTCCGATGCTGTAAAGATCTATACTCCATAGGAACCTGGAATATAAGATCCATGAATCAAGGCAAGCTGGAGGTGGTCAAACAAGAGATGACAAGACTGAACATCGACATCTTAGGAATCAGTGAACTAAAATGGACAGGAATGGGTGAATTTAATTCAGATGACCATCAGGTATACTACTGCAGGCAAGAGTCCCTCAGAAGAAATGGAGTAGCCTTCATAGTCAATAAATGTAGGAAAAGCAGTACTGGGATACAATCTCCAAAATGACAGAATGACCTCAGTTCGGATCCAAGGCAAACCATTCAACATCACAATAGTCCAAGTCTATGCCCCAACCACTGGTGCGGAAGAGGCTGAAGCTGACCAGTTTATGAAGGCCTACAACACCTTCTAGAATTAACTCCAAAAAATGATGTCCTCATCATGGAGGATTGGAATGCTAAAGTTGGAAGCCAAAAGATAACCGGAATAACAGGCAAGTTTGGCCTTGGAGTACAAAATGAAGCAGGGCACAGGCTGGTAGAATTTTTCAAGAGAATATGATGGTCATAGCAAATACTCTTTTCCAACAACCCAAGAGACGACTCTACACATGGACAACACCAGATGGTCAACACAGAAATCAGATTGACTATGTGCTCTGCAGCCAAAATGGAGAAGCTCTATACTGTCAGTACAAACTAGACCAGGAGCTGACTGTGGCTCAGATCATGAGCTTCTGGTTGCAAAATTTAGGCTTAAATTGAAGAAAGTAGAGAAAAGCACTAGGTCACTCAGGTATGACCTAAATCATATCCCTGATGAATATACAGTAGAGGTGACAAATAGATTTTATTTATTTATTTATTATTTATTAAAACATTTTTATGCCGCCCCTTTCGGCAAAGCCTCGGGGCGGCTTACAACAATAGGAATTTAAGGAATTGGGTCCTGGTTACCTGAAGGAGCGCTTACGTCCATATATGCCCAGCCGCCCCTTGAGATCAGCGGGAGAGGCCCTTCTCCGGGAACCCTCCGGGAAGGAAATTAGGAGGGTGGCTACTCGGAGGAGGGCTTTCTTTGCGGTGGCGCCCAACTTATGGAACACGCTCCCCAGAGAGGTCCGCCTGGCGCCGTCGTTATTTGCTTTTCGGCGCCAGGCGAAAACCTTTTTATTTAAGCGGTATTTATTTAAACGAGAAGGAAGGACTCCCTGGAGAAGAGCCTAATGCTGGGAACAATAGATGGCAAAAGAAGAAGGGGACGGCAGAGGATGAGGCGTCATTCCTAGATGGAGTCACTGAAGCAGTCGGTATGAGCTTAAGTGGACTCCGGGGGATGGTGGAGGACAGGAAGGCCTGGAGGAATGTTGTCCATGGGGTCGCAATGGGTTGGACACCACTTTGCGACTAACAACAATTGTTGCCTTTAGAACAGAAAAGAAATTAGAAAACTTAAGGAAAATTAGATACCCTGAAAATGATGGCTGATTCAGACATTACATAAATGTAGTTTTCAGAACTTCAAGATTCCTGTTTCTAATAAAATATCCAACATACAAACACCCATGGCGAGATCTGAAGATCTGAAATAACGAAATCTGAACTGAGGAAGAATTTCCAGAGATTACATTAGACAAGGGCAGATGCTCTTAATATAAATAAAATGAATTCATATACATTAAAAAGTGTTTATATCATAGAGTTGCTATATAACCAGTTCTATACAGAGTGGAACATTCCAGGCAAAATTAATAAAACAGTGTGGTTTGGTAACCATCAGCTATGTACATACAGAAGGAAATTTTAACTGTTAGTATTAACTGATTTTATCTGGCCAGGGTGGCTTATTTTATATTGTATTTTTTGGATTTTTAATGTTTATATTAATTTATTGTTGTAAGCCGCCCCGAGGCTTCAGCGAATGGGACGGCATAAAAATGTTTTAATAAATAAATAAATAAATAAATATGTAGAGCCAGCATCAAGGGATGGACATGGTTGGGCACCTTTTCTGGATGTGTTCTTGTCCTCCTCCTCACTATTGTAAGCTGCTGTTCACCTGCCTCATTTTGGTTTGACAGCGGTGGTGCTGAGAGGGAGGAGCAGCAGATGCCAGGGCCTGATCACCAGTTTTCTGGCAGTCAAGTCTCTGATGACCATGGCGGCAGCTGAAATGCAGCTGATGACAAGGGTCGTGAGAAAGTTAGCTCATTGAAGCAGGGGGCCCAAGGGCCCTGCAAAGCCTGGGATTGGCACTATTTCTGAGGCAGCAAAAACTCCACCTGTTGTAATGCTGCGTGTCACACGAACTTCATCATAGAACTCTAGATCAGTGATATTCAGAAGGATTTGTTGGCATCTCACAGAGAGGTGGTGACAAACCGCTGTGCCCACAAACTGAGCCCATGTCAGCTCCCTGTTGGCAACAGGGTCTTCCGTTTTCCCCGACCCCCAATTTAACTGCGCTTGGTTGGGTAATTTGCAGAGAGCCCCTACTCCGGGCATTCTGGAGAACGGAATTTCTGCCGCGCGCGCCTTCTGCTGCAATGTTGCAGAAGGGAGGAGCGCAGCAGGCGCAACGGGGAGGTCCCTTCCTTGTCGGCCCGCTGCAACGAATGCTCCTCTGGGAAGCTCACCCTCTCCCTTCGCCCCAGCTCAGGTGGCAGGGAAACTCGAGGAAAGGGGCGGACTGGCCGGCGCGCACCCCCATGACGCAGGATGTCATCTGCGCGGTTATGGCACGCAAAGTGAACCCAGGTGCAGGGGGAGGTGGGGAGGAAACCGGGCTCCTCTTCTCCAGCCTTCTCAGCCTGATGCTGCACAGATGCTTTTGGACTACAGCTCTTGTCACCCCCGATCGCTGGACTTAGTGGCTGCGGCTGAGAAGAGCTGTAATCCAAAACTATTGAGAGGACGTCCAAGTTAGGGGAAGACTGCATCTTACTCCAGTTTCCAAATGGAGGCGCCCTTTGCACGGCTTCGGGAATTTGCAGACCATCCCTCGGCTCGCGAGAAGTGGCTTTGGAATGGTTATCGCTGTGTGCTTTTTTGTAGCCTTTGCCTGACGGTGCAGATCTCGGACAAGTGCAGAGGCGGCGGCGGCAGAACAACGGATCTGGAAAGGGCACCGCGCCCGCGAAAAGCCTCCTTTTCGAAAGTCTTCGGACGCGGAGTTAGCCATTTGCAGACGATCCCTTTTCAGTTCAGGGGGTTCCCTTGCATAGTGCCGATGGAGCAAAAAAGCAAGATCTGCGTTGCCCTTCGACTCGCTCAGGTAGGAAACGAACCTCTCCAGCTCGTCCCCTTACCACGAGGACAGGAGACTCCAGCGTCTCTCCGCGCACGTGAAAATGCGGCGCTCCCCGCCTCCATTTCCGGGATTTGGAGGGGAGAATGCCTCATGAAAAAGCCTTGCTAGATCGCGAGGAGAGGATGCTTTGCGAGGCAGCGATGCAGGTGGGATTCCTCCCTCAATTAGCGATGGAGACATTTGTTCCCGTTTTCGCCGTTCGTGCTGTTGTCTTGGAAGGGTCCCCTTTGCTGTCAAACATCCAACAGGAAGGGAAAGGCTGGGAAGTGGGTGAACATGTGGGGAGGCCGCAATAATCGGGCGTGGGTCGGCCAGGGCATGTGAGATCACGCGAGGAACAGTCGGGGAGAGCCTCTGCCTCTGCTAGCGCGGCCTGCCGTTAGGCCGGCTGGAACAGTAGAAAGACGGGTGGTTCGTGGGACTCTGTAGAGCAGTAGCCTAAAATATAAATCAAGAGTGCGGCTGCAGCCTCATCATGCTCTGCTTGTGGGCTTCTTGGTGCAATTTGGCTGACCACAGTTGGGAACAGGATGCTGGGTTGCTAGATGATACTCTTGGGCGGGTCCCAGCCGGCCTCTGTATCCTTAAAAGCAATTACAAAAAGCTAAAAGGAAGGTGCATCAAATTGGGGCCCAGTTTCTCATTTATGGGAACTGGAAGGCTACGCATGATTTTTTTTTCTTTTTTTTAAAGTGAAAATCTTGCCATTGGGCTAAGTTGTGCAAGTTACCCTAATCACAGGTTGGGTATCATCCAGCTGTACTAATTTTTGGGAGCAGTGTGCCTCACTTGTTGGTTGGTACTAAATCTGAGGCTCCTGCTATGAATATATGAATATCTTAGTTAATGATAGGAAAAAGTACTACTGAGATAGCACAGAGTGCATTTCTTCCAGAATAAGCATGGACACCCAGACTCAAGAGAGCTGGAATGGTATATACAGGCCTTCCGGTATTGTAGCCTGACCACGCAGGTCCTCACCCCTTCCCTTTTGTCTTCATTAAATAAATAAATACAGAGGGCTAGGTATACTATACCACTTCAGACTGCAGGTAGAGAGGATTCCCAAAATGAAGTGCTCTTATATATATAAAAACTCTCCATGTAGTAGATTCCCTTTCCTTAACAACTAGTTTTCTGCATGGAGGGATTTGAAGTTGTGGTGGTTTTCGTATGGAAGAACATTGTATCATGTGTATGAGGTCACTCTAAAGTCTATGATGGTATGGCTCAGTCACAGTTTATAATTTAGGTAAGGTTTATTCCCAAATCTATACCTAATCCATGAACATAGCTACCCCATGTATTTATTTGGTTAGACTGCAGTCCTGGTTGGATGGGCAGCTTCAGCTTGGGTCCCTCCGAATGTTGTTGGCCTTGAACCCCCATCAGCCCTAGCTAGCACAACCAACCAGTTGTGGGGGATCATGAATGTTTTTTGCCAAAACATCTGGAGGGACACAAGTTACACCGCCCTTGTACTGAATCCAACAGCTTTATTTTATTCCAAGTTTTCAAATGCACACAGCTATGGAACAGTCACTGCCAACTGGTGAACTAAGATTTCCTGTTTAGCAGTTTAAACTTTTTGTGCTGGGATATTGCACAAAATGATACAGGTTGTTGCACTTCTGAGACAAATGTACAGTAGTTTTGTGCAAGAAGAATACCAGTGATGATGCCATAAAAACTAAGGGCACAATTTTATATAAGTTTAGATATAAAAAGGCCTACAACTGCAAGGATGCCCCAGCCAGTGCCATCTGTCTTTTTTCTATCTAAAAAGTGCCCATAGGATTGCATTTTAAAACAAGTACATTTGTATTTATTTTTGTACTTTCCAATAATCAAAGCTCTCTAGACAGTTCAGAAATTAGGAGAATGAAAGCACGATACACAAAAACTTAAGTGCCAAGTAAATTGCAAAATCAATTGATGACTGCTGCACAGCACAACATGAGATCCCAGGTTGCCGATGCTTTCTTCAGTTTTGGACTACAGCTCCCATAATCCCAGACCAGTGAGCACACTGGGACTTGTAGCTAAAACATCTGAGGGCACCAGGTTACTTACCACCTTTGTACAATGATTTTTATGCTACTTGAAAATCATAGAAACAGATCTTACAGCAACACAAAGCATTTATCTGGCTATCCCAGTGTAGCCTGCACTAGCAGCTGCTGTTCAGAGTTACAGGTGGGAATCTTGACCATTGTGTAAGAACAATTTATGCCTGAGATCTTCTGCCTGGAAAGTAGGAGCTCTGCACTGACCTAAGCAGCATCCTGTATGATTTTCATTACTTCATATTGGGCTGAATTCTCTAATCACAGGAACTTTTGAATGGGTTTTCTGGCTCCTGACTGCAGGAACAGCTTCTGGGCCAGGGCTGATGAGCAAGTCAGAAACGAAGAGCTCATTGCATCACTGATCTCCCTGATGATGATTTTTTCTAGAAAAGGTGGGGCAACATCTTAGAACATCAGTGCCTTATTTTCTGCTGAAGCTTTTCCTAAGATCACCAGTTTGCCTGTCTTTCTAATCTCTGCTGATCTCACCTAGTCATGCACACATCCATCTGTGTGGCCCCTGCTTATTGCTGCAGTTTTATTCAGGGGCCACATTTATCGCTCCTGGCAAATAGCCCTTCAAAGATGGAAGAGGCTGAGAGTGTGTCCTGAATACATACCTCAGCCTGTTTGTATTGATTATTCTTTATTTATTTAAAATATCTTCACCCCACCTTATATCTGAACTGGATCTCTAAATGGCTTACAATTAGGGTTGAAAAGAACAGGAGCTATGGTCACTCAACCTTACTTCTTTACCTTTGCATGTTTATTAAGATCTTTTCCTTGGTTGAACACATCCTATATCTTGGCCTTTTCCAATCTGGGGCCTCAAGATGTCTTAGACTGCAGTTCTCATCAGCACAAGCTGGCATGGGTACCAATTGAGGATTATGGGAGTTGTAGTCCAGACAAGCTAGTGGGTACCCAGTTGCGGAAGGCTGTTCCATCTATATATTTCTGAGTGTATAGAAAGCAGTGGCTTGTCTGAATTTGCGAATCACACATGGTAGGGCCAGGTCAGAACAGGAAGCATATAGCTGTTCTGATTTGCTGCTGGCTGAGGGATGAGGCATTTCTCCTTCTGTCTAATTCTGTGATTTGTTGCCAATTCCTGCATATTATGCTCCTTCCTTGGAATTTGCTCAGCTTATATTGGGGGAGTTTCATGATAGTAATAAAAAAGACCAGCTCTCTCTTGTCATAGCAAACCCTGAACTGTTACAGATTATAGAAATCAACCGAGCATAACTGCAGCCCTATAACTCCTGTAGTTTACTTTTTGGTTGAGAAACCCAAATTCATTCTTTAGCTAACTTGCTCACAGGATTCCTCCCACCCACTATAAGATTTCTGAGATACTGTACATGAAATATTTTTAACATGTACGTATGAAATATGAAGATTCTTAAGGCAGATAGTATTAACAGCCTTCTCTGAACTGGTACCCTCCTGATTCTCACTGGGGTAGTGGAGCTGCAGTCTGACGCATCTGGGAGAAAGCTGTTGTTTACTGTAAGGCTATTTGTTAGAAAAGGAACTGTTGCAGGAGTTGTAACCTTGTATGGTCAAGATTTCACATACTGAGGGTGTCTTTCCACTAGGTCACACTCCCCTTATTCTTCTCATGATTCTGAACACTTGCATGGATGACCATAGTTGTTCCATATTGAAACCATGCTGGTAATCGAACTGAAAAAGCACTGCGATATTTTGCATCATCCAAGAATGCCTGGCCTTGATCCACTATTGTAGGTTTAATCCCTTCCCCCCAAAAGGTAATTTTGCAGGATCATATGAATCTAACTTTTTTTTAATGCTGCCTTCTTCTCAGTTCAAAGGATAGAAACATCCCCAACTTAAAGTAAAATCTTTCATCACAGTTGTGATCCTACCAAACCATGTTCCTTAACTAGCTTTAATTAGCCAGTCTAATTAAGAGGCAGAGATTCTACCATTGCTATACTACATACATATGGTATCCTCATCACTACTGATGTAAAACAACAGCAACCCTGAAGACAGACTTAATCTAGTCTGAATATTTGTGTTTTTATTCATGGTTTTGGCCATATATCACCTTGGAGATGGTGCTCCAAAGGTTGAAGCTTCCAGGTTGCTACTAAGAGTAAAAATGGAGTAATCAAATCCAGAGTTACTCCAGTAATATGGTTCTGCAATCCAATGATGCATTTTCAGTGTACTTCCATCCTGAGGATCTTACATATACATGACTTCCAATGAAAGGGAAGGAACCATTAGGTATTGGAGAAATGGCAGGGAGCAGCAGATGCCTGGGAATTCAGGTCTTGCAAAAGAGGAAGGGTTTTACTGTTGCCCAGATGCCATTGCAATGGCGCACCAGTGTACCCCTTGCTACCCTGCAGGACTGGGATTCCCAGGCATCCGCTGCTCTCCTGTGACTTTTCCCATTGCATGATACCATGGCAACCCAGCCTCATTGATGGACAATATACACTTTTTTTTGGCCTGATGGTAGAAAGGTGAGAGGGGTGGGGAATGTAGGAAGATCTCATAGAAAGAGTTGTTTTAACTGCTTGTTTCTGTGCTAACACATTTCTCAGGGTTACAACAGCAGGTTAGCTCCTGCCTTGATTTTTTAAATGCTTTTATTTTTTTAAAAATGTTGATGGTATTTTTTCACCCCTAATAATCTTGGTATTTCACATAAATGCATTGCAGTTACTATGGATCCCCCAAGCTGTTTTGGTGGCAATTAGTTACAACTCAAGAAATTTAATTGTGCAACCTGCAGATGCAAAGGGCAGTTAGCAGATCAGTGTCTGCTTTTGGAGCCTGGCTCCAGACCTCTTGCGTTTGTTTTGTAGAGCATCCTCCACTCCCAGCTGCAACATAAATTAGTGTCCTTATGTG